ACTACGCCTTCGAAACCGCCACATACTTTATCAACTATTTACCCTCCTCAGCCATACAATTTCAGAGTCCATATACTATCCTCCACAAAGTGTCTCCGCCCTACACATTTCTTCGAGTCTTCGGGTGTCGATGCTACCCATATCTACGGCCTTATAACCGGCATAAGATTGAGTACCGATCGGCACCCTGTGTATTCCTAGGTTACCCGTCAAGCTTTAGGGGTTATCGCTATGTGCGGTTTGATGAGTCTAATTTCCCTTTTGCAGACTTGGAAATATCGACTCACACCCCGGCCACAGCTACACTACCGTGGGTGTCCAGTCCAGTCAGCATAACGACTTTGGCTACACCCACCATAACCCACACAGAAGCCGTTGAGGGTCCGACAGATAGTTCGGTTCCCATGGCTCAAGAGTCCGCTCCGTTAGCCATTGAGGGTCCAGTTGCAAAACGCCCCAGGACACGGAAACCCCGCCCACCACTGATCCTACTTGCTACTCTCAGGCCGTTGTCCACTCACAATGGCGTGAAGCTATGGATCAAGAGTTCAATGCTTTGCTCCACAACAACACTTGGACTTTAGTCCCGGCTGAACCCCATATGAATGTGATTGGTTACAAATGGGTTTTCAGGACTAAACGCACTACAGACGGCTCGGTAGAGCGGTATAAAGCCCGCCTAGTAGCTAAAGGGTTTAATCAGGTAGCCGGCGAGGATTTTTTTGACACCTACAGCCCTGTCGTCAAACCGACAACGGTTCGGCTGCTATTTTCTCTCGATGTGTCCTATCATTGGACGATGCGTCAGCTAGATGTCCATAATGCCTTCCTCAATGGACACTTGGGCGAAACTGTGTATATGAAACAGCCTCCGGGTTATGAAGACCCCACACATCCAGGGCATGTCTGTCACCTGCAACGACCCTTATATGGCCTGAAACAAGCCCCTCGGGCATGGTTTAAGAGGCTGCACGATTATTTACTCTCTGCAGGTTTTCTTCCGTCTAAAACGGATGTGTCCCTGTTTCATTATTCGGCAGCCACCTCCCGAGTATTCTTGCTGGTGTATGTAGATGACATCATCATGATGGGTAACGATGCTGCTCTCATCACTACTCTACTACATCGGCTAGCTACAGTCTTCAAAATTCGAGATCTTGGCACACCGGGATTCTTTCTTGGGATTGAAACCGTCAAGCAAGATACGGGCATGCTGCTATCACAACGTCGCTATATGAATGATATCCTCACACGAGCTGGAATGGCTGACTGCAAGCCCCTTACCACACCAGCAGCTGTGACTCAGTCTGTGTCTCCGACATATGAATCGTGTGATAATCCGACTCAATATCGCCGTCTTGTAGGTGCGCTACAATATCTGACTATTACCAAACTGGATCTGGCTTATGCTGTTAACCGCTTATGCCAGTTTATGCACTCGCCCACAGTTGATCATTGGGGTCTTTTGAAGAGGGTCCTGCGATACATCAAGGGCACCACTACTTACGGGCTCCGTCTTTCAGTATCTGCTTCATCCGATATTCACGCCTTCTCGGATTCCGACTGGGCTGGTTGTCCGGTAGACAGGAAGAGTACTAGTGGCTATGCCGTGTTTCTTGGAACAAATCTTATCTCTTGGCTGTCCAGGAAGCAACGCACCGTTGCCCGTTCGTTTACTGAGGCCAAGTACAAAGCCCTCGCTGATGTTTCTGCTGAGGTCACTTGGGTCGTCTCTCTGCTTCGTGAGTTAGGTACGCACACTGGCAAGCCGTCTACGCTGTGGTGTGACAATCTCGGGGCCACGTATCTCTGCGCGAATCCAGTTTTTCATGCCAGGACTAAATATGTAGAAATCGACTACCATTTTGTCAGGGACAAGGTTGCTTCTGGAGACGTGGTTGTCAACTTCGTATCCACTAAAGATCAGCTGGCGGATATCTTCACCAAACCGTTACCTGAACCACGGTTTGCTTCTCTACGGGACAAGCTCAATGTGGTTACGCACCACCCTTGTGCTTGAGGGGGTGTGTTAGACATAATAATAATAATAATAATAATAATAATAATAATAATAATAATAATAATAATAATAATAATAATAATAATAATAATAATAATAATAATAATAATAATAATAATAATAATAATAATAATATTATTATTATTATTATTATTATTATTATTATTATTATTATTATTATTATTATTATTATTATTATTATTTGTACTCTCTGAATAAGTCAATAGGATTAGTACTGTGTGGCTAGCCTATTGTATAGCGATAGTCTACGTAGAATACTCTAAATAATGGATGAAATGTTCGATAAATATGCAAAAACCATTTTGAGACAAAATTAGACTTGGCTATGAATCCACAAGCTCCCAGTCCCATGAAAATTTGACAACTCTACTTCACCTGGCCTTTAACTAATTAGGGAATCCCACCAGTAAAGTTTGTATCAAGTCAAGAAAGCCTAGTGAGACTAGGATCGGGATATCGTAAGACAAAAAGGATGTTCGGTTTGAGTTCAATGAGGAGTGTTTTGAGGAATTTCATACTCGGTAAACTTATTGTAAGTGCACTAGCTAGCTCTAGTGGGTCCGGATTGGGAGCTACCTTTTGAGTTGATGTATGATGCGAGTGGGTTTTTTGGTGTGGGTAGTTTTAGATCAAAGGAAGGATAAGTATTTCCAACCTATTTCCTTTGCTAGCAAAACCTTAAATAGAGCCCAAGAAAACTACACAACCACGGAAAAGGAGCTCATTGTCATAGTGTTTGCACTTGATAAGTTTAGATAATACATTTGTTGTCAAAGGTCATGGTCTTTTTCAATCATGCGGCCATTAGAGATTTGATGTCAAAAGGCGAAGCAAAACTATGCTTTTTAGGTGGATCATTCTCTTACAAGAGCTTAACTTGAGATCAAAGATAACCGAATTAACTTAATGAACACCCCTAGGGAAATGTCACCTCGTAGGGACCGAGTATACTACCATATTCAATAAAATGCACCAATGTGTATGGACACAAACTGTGCGTGGTAGATATACTTGAATAGGGAAAGTTGTAGAGGCGAGAAAAAAGGACTGTCTCGCTAAGTCAAAATGCGATGAGTAGCTTGTGTCATAACCACTGTTGTAAAAATCGGCCTAGGCGGCGCCTAGGTGCTAGGCGCCCCTAGGCCGTTCCGCTTTCACTATTAGGTACCCAAAAATCGGTCGGGCGCCTAGGCGGCAAAATTGACCGAAATCGGTCAAAATCGGCCTAGGCAGCCAACTCAGCTGAGTCGGACGATTTCTTCTGATTTTGACCGATTTCGTCCAATGTCGTAAGGTCCAGCCGTCCGTAGACTAGTTTGATACTTTGAATCTTTGGATGATTAAAGTATTTGAGTATTTTTATTTTTTAATATTATTTTGATGTTATGACTTATAAATTATCATTATTTCGTTTATTTGGATATGTTATTTGATTGAATGTTGAAAACAACCTCATTAAAATTGTCAAACTGCAAGTCTCCCGCTATTTTTTTGGCGCCCGCCTAGCACCGCCTAGATTCCGCCTAGGCACCGCCTAGTCCTTCTAGGCGCTAGGCACTACTCGGACGTCCGACTAGCGCCTAGCGCCTATTGCAACCATGGTCATACCTTTAGTATTACTAAATGCACCACTGCGGATACTGAGCCACAAAAAAAAAAAAAAAAAAAAAAAAAAAAAAAAAAAACCTAAATTACTCGTACTAATCTTGACTTCATGTAAGGAGGCATCTTACTAGGCAATATACAAAAGTAGCTAGTATACGTATAAAAAAAAAAAAATTATATTTTTGAGTTTTTAGTTTCAAAATTTAAGGAAATTGAACATTCAAAAATTATCAATTCACAGTTTATTAAAATTAAAAAAAAAAAAAAAAAAAAAAAAAAAAAAAAAAAAAAACTCAATAATTTTATATTTTCACCAGGAATTAAATACTTACGATTTAATGAATACAAATTTATATAATTAAAATTAAATACTTATGATTTAATGAATACAAATTTATATAATTAAAATTAAATACTTAAGATTTAATGAATACAAATTTATATACTTAAGATTTAATTGAAATTAATGTGCTTTATCATTCTAATATTGATTTCCAGTACACTGGAATTATTTTCTAGTACTGGAATATATTTCCAGTGCACTAGTAATGATGGACTGTGTTCAAAAATTAACTATACAATACTTGACACTTGTTCTCTAAATATTAACTATACAGATAAATGATTCTTCATCTTGTCAATAAAACATTCCAAGTGAGCTAACAGAAGAGTCGGTTGTGCAAAAAAACCAAGTGATGTTTGGTAATTAGTACTTAGTAGTGTGTATGAACTTTGTATTGATATTTTGTTATATACTCCGCAATGTTTAGAATTTGAATTTGGACTACGTGAATATGTATTGTTTAGTAGTGTGTTTGTAAAATTAAGAAATACTAAATTTGGGGTTCTTAAACCGAACCGAACCAATTCCGAACCGAAATAGAACTTTTTCAAACCAAATCGAAACCGAACCGAACTATAATGTTAAACCGAATGGTATCATTTTTTAAATACCGAAATACCAAAATCTAAACCGAAAAAAATCGAACCGAATTTCGAAACGCCCACCCAGAAGACTTCTATCAACGAGATTTTTCAAGCATTCCATGACCACTTCTTCCCTATTCACATGCTTTGCAACCCTAAAAATTCCCTTTGCCGCCCACAACCTAAACAAATTCTTCACAGAGATCTTATAATCTTCTTGAAAAGCTCCAAAATAAAAATAAAATAAAATAAAAGCAAGCGTTTAAGTGATGTAGCAATTGAAACTAAAATATAGTATTCTTGAACATGCATCAGTTTAAATTTCTATAAACAACCTATGAAGTTTTTAATAAAAGAATTGGTTTTTCATTTAATATTTGAATCCTTCTTTATAAACTTAGCATTGAAGTGTATAACAAAATAATCTATAAGAAATCGCTTAAAGAATTATAATCTTAAGAAATGAGTTAAATGGCATTATCCATTTTATATTAAAAAAAAAAAAACAAAAACAAAAAAAATCAGAACCATAACACAGTTTAAACATGAAACCATATATTTGAGCTCACCAAAATATATAACAGAGTATTCACCCAACTTGTTGCCTAATCCTCCAAAGCATCCACAGCTAACCATTATGCCCATTCAAGAGGGCTTCGAATTTTGTCTTCAAACAATTTCTCCTTCATCACTCTCTTCCTGCTCATTACATTCTTCATTTTAGGCTGGAAATTTTATAGACAGCAATTAGATAGGTAAGGAAATATATAGAGAAAAATGAGATGAAGTGACAGAAAACATATGACTATTCCTTGCAGATATACAAATAGAATGAAATGTAAAATATATGGTCAGAGAGGGATAGGAGGAAGAGACCTAATACTTTCAGAACCAACAAGGATGGAATTTCCATAGTTGTTGAGTTGCTCATCTTGAATCCACTTTGCAGAAGCGAAAATGGAATTCCCCGACAGTCGTTTAATTGCATTAATGCTAGTGTGGTGATATCCACAAAACCACTAGGGATCTCTTGCAAATACTTGTATTCACGTAACTATAAACATTTGCAGTAGAGACTTCAACTATCATCGGCATCTAAGAAAGGCAGGTTAATGATAGAGTTACCTGAGCTAGCATATTTAGCCACTTCTTTGAGCCGAGAAGTCAATAGTATACAACTTCCATTATTATCATCTGGAAAACATCTTTGCACACTATCTCAAGCAGTAGTGTTCCATATATCATCAATCACTATCGAATATCTTTGACCTTTCAAACATTTATAGAGCATTTCTGCAAATTGGTATTGATCAGTGCTCTGTTCATGGAGTTCATTTCTTGATGCTGCTGCAATAACACAACCAATAAGACATCAGAGCATTTGTTCAACGTTATACTCTTGGAATACAATAACCCATGCTCGCTTGTCAAAATGAGAAATAACAGATGGATGTTCATAAACTTTGCGTGTCAAAGTGGTCTTGCCTATTCTTCCCATGCCAACAATCGAAACAACTTGTCTCCCCTTAGTTGATTGTTGCATGAGCTTATCCAATATCGTCATAAACAATAGTCCTCTCCGTCGCATCCGACCAAGGAGTGAAACATGATTGTTTCATTTTGTGATGAAGCCTTTGCAAGCTGGTATTCACTTTTAATCCTAATCAATGTTGGTGATAATGAACCACAATCGATTTAATATCCCAAAAATAATATTTATATATACACACATTAGTATATAAAATATTATTGGATATTTATCCGAAATATATATATACACACAAATATATATAAAACGGATCCAAAGGTTATATATACATGTATATCTACGAAAAAGATATACCAATATATATCAACCAAAATTGAAACTAATAATCCTCAGATTATGAGTCCAATCCAAATAATATATCAAAAGAGAGGGGATGAATTTTTGCTTAAAAGCATAATCCAAACAAGAAAGATGGAGAAGGAAGAAAGAAATGTACGAGTTAGGCGAGTGCCTTTCTTTCCTTAAAACCTTATTTGCCACCTCCCAAAAGTTCTAGGAGCGTTGTGGCCTAGGTCTCCCAGGATAAAACGTACAACGGTTTGACGCTTGAGCACCCAAACGAACGAACCCGGCGAACAAGAGACGGGCAAAACACAGCTTCAAGAATGGAGTAGGAGCAGAATTTTGAGAGGAAAATAGAATTTCTTTTTGTGTGTTCTTGTGTTGTTTCTCACTTTCTTTCTAACATTGTGTTTAAAAGGTTGCTCCCACAACATGTTTATATAGGAGATTGATACTAAATAGCATCATCATGACACATTAACCAACATAAATTCAATTTAAAAATTGACTTATAACGTTTGAAACGGTCGTACTTATTATCGAAATAATATCAACGGTCACGAACTTAATATCCGATTAATTCGTACCGATTGTAGCGACCCGTTTCAAATATCTGAGTGACCGAGAAGTCCGTACAAACCCGAAAGGTTAACGAATTGGGATCAAAAACCATACCCGAATGGTCCACAAGCACCGAAACGGTGCAACACGAATCAATGCATATAACATTGATTCGTGCTCACCGAATCTAAAAGCCACGAAAGGAGCACGAAACTTAATCTTTGAAGTCCATGCAACTTTCGTCCATTCATATTGCAACTTTCGTCCATTCATATTGAACTTTCGTCCATGCAACTTTCAAAGCTTAATTAAGCTCTTAAGATTAACATACTTAAGCTTTCAAAACAAAGCTTAACTACACTTAAGCTAACTTTCGTACAGGACCGAAAGCAGGGGCATGAATTGGGCTAAAACTCAATTCTCATTTATTAAGCTTTCGTACTTTGGACTTCTCCTAAATAGGTTCACTTTGAGAATCAATTTCTCATTCACCTATTACCCATTTTGAACGTACATTATATCAAATTCTTCGTCTTACTACGAAGAACCCGAATCCACATTGACCCGACCCAAATCGGAAGTGGATCTCACATATATTTGTACCACAAAATAATCACTCAAAATGTCATTTTAATGCTATTTTTCCAACAATCCCCCACATGAATGAAAATTGATTTTCAGGGTATTTTGAAATCGGAAACAAACTGTGTTTAACAGTCGATCCCTGCATAGGATAGGTAGGGATCACTGTACCCTTTGAACCTTCCCTTGTAAAGATATGTTTACTCTACTGGCTGTACGGTAGAACGCGATGTCTTTGAACCGACTGCCGTTTGTGTAGACGATGACATATCTCACACAAGAACCTCCCAACCATGCTCTGTTCTCATGAGTGTGCCCATTTTGGTCGTGGGTCACCGTCCTGGTTCTGCAAGAGTTTGTGAAGAATTGTGCCCATCAATTCTCCTTTGAAGCGACCCTCACTTCTCTCTCACATAGGTGATTCTTTTCCGAGTATCCCGCATACTCACACATGTCAACCGACATTCGAATCATTAAAGCATCAACATGCTAACCTTGCGCGGGAGACACTATTTCTAACAAGGAGTGGTAGAAAGTCCGAGACCCTCACAGTGACACGCTCTGTTCCATAATTTAGTTGTCCCATTAAACCTATGTAGTGTAGTCCAAAGTCACAAGCATACATAAGTATCTAATAACTTCCACTATTGCCTTCTTGTGCGTAACACTAGGGTTACTCGTATGTCTATCGAGTTCGTTAACCGCTAAGGCAATATCCAGCCTAGTACAACCCATTAGATACAGTTAAACTGTCAATAATCTGAATGTATTCTCCGTGAGATGTACAACCTTCGTGATTATTTGCTAGTTGTACGTTAGTATCTAACATTGTCCAATCCACTTGATTAACATCCTTTGCAAGGATTTAATCAACACAATGAGATTGGCTTAACACGAGACCATACGGTCTTCTCACAATTTTAATCCCGAGGATTAAATCTGCCAAGCCCATATCCTTCGATATCATGTCAAATCTCAAATTTGACATGTTCTTGGTAGAATTGATCATGTGATCGTTACTACCCACGTTGAGTTTATCGTGTATAGACAGATAGTGATAACCTCGTCTATCGTACGCATTACGTAGACATTTATCACATTTGTTTATACTAAACTCGTGACACATCATTGTATGATAAAACTTACATGCCAAATACTAAGGCAATTGTTTCGACCCATACAATGATCTCACCAATTATACACTTTCTTTCCATAGCGCGGAACCACAAAACCCTCGGGTTGTTCCATGTCTATTAAGAAAGCGATACATCCATTTCTATAAACTTCCAAGTCTCGCTAACCAGCTCTTGGGAAGTATCATCCTAATGGATTTCATTCTCATCACAAGAGAATATATATTGAAGTAATTGTGGCACTCGCGTCGCATGTAATCTAAAATTACAAGCCCGGCCATTTTAATTCAATATAACCAACCGGTTTTATCTTCCGACTAGTGATCCACTTAGGATCCCGAGGTTTTACAACCTGGAGGAAAAACAACCAGTTCCAAGTATGATTCTTTAAGATAGAATCTACTTCACTCTCGGTAGCCTCTCTCAGGTTGGTCCATTTGTAAAAGTCATCACTTCTACATATGTTCGAGGCTCGTTTTCTAACAACCATGTCAGAAAATTCAATTTATTTTCTAGTAAACAAGTTAGAATATGCACGACACATTCTAGAATGTACATCAGAAAATCTGGACCAAAGGATTATTCATTCCTAGCTCTCTTGCTACGTTTAGCTTTGAGCTCGGGTTCTCTTTCATACCCTTCAACCATAGCTATGTCGAAAATTCCTTTCAACGTGCTAGGTCCTTTTATTGAATCTTCACAGAAATGCATCTTCTAGAGAGCAATGGATTTCTTGATTCAATTTTCCGTGTTCTTATGTACGCCCAAATTATAGGACTCGTGTACTAAGAACCAATACACAACTTTGGCAAGACACCCCCACATTTCAGGCATTCGTAGGAAACTTCCTACGTACCCACAATTCGTAAGAATTTCATGCGGGTAACCTTATTTAAAAGGTACTTACTTGTCCAAAGTATTGTCTCACCCCACGTACTTTGAGGTAGACCCGAACTTATCAATTTCTTGATATTTATGTTCGGCAACAACGTTTGATCGAGGTGAATACCGTGTCGTACTCTCGAGTACAATACCAACGCTTGCGCAGAAATCACCAATAGGTGTTTCATATTCACTACATCAATCGTTCATAACCGCATTAATCCACGATTAATTTGGTTTTTCCCTTTTAATTCTTATAAAGAATAAACATGTGCTGCACATTAGCACATCTCGTTAGTGCGAACAGATCAGCACTTACGAATCCATTCGATTTTGACCGAAAGGCCACAAACCCGAATCAGTGCTTCCGAAATTGAAGCACGAATCAGTGTTTAGTAATGAAGCACGAAACATGCTACACCAAGCACGAATCGTTGCTCCAACTTAAAGCACTGATTTCAAAGTAATCCTCCATTGCTTTAAATCATAAACCCACATCAACCTTTCGTTGCTTAATTTATAATTTCAATGCTTATTAGCTAATTACAAAATTAGCCAAGCATACTTTCGTTAGTGCTGTCAAGCACTAAAGTAACACGAATCTAGGCAATGCTAGTTACTTAGCGCTTTAGGTGCTAATCTCAATTCAACTTACTAAGTTGAGTAATTCCAATTACAAAGGAACTTTCGTGCTACACATTAAGCAATTAGGCTTAATTAATTTTGGGTACAACAAATCAAAAGCTCAACTAGCTTAATTTGACGTCCCAACAATTTGTCTCAAATTACATTTCACACTAGTATAATTTGGATTTTTGATCAAGTTAATTTTAACACAATTAACAAGAACAAATCAACCAAATTTCCAACTAGTTGAATCAAGCATACATAATCGTACCAAGAATATTATTTAAAATATTCAACACTTGAGCTGCGACGCTCACGATTATATACCTATCCCAATTTTTGACAAATTGATTCTTGAAATCCCTATCGTTCTACATGAACCAGAACCGAAGTCCTTTTACGGGATTTCAAACATGCAACATGTTTGTTATATTTCGTTCCGGCCGTTAAGCCATTTTAGCATTTTCCACATAATGCTCCGTGATGCACCACGCACCCATCTTGAATTATTTCATACATTTGACATTATTCTAACAAATAATTTGTATGTACCAAAATTCAACTTAATGGAACAATTATATTTTTATTCAAATAAAAATATTACAAGGATACTACAATATTTATTCAAAATAAATAAATAGGAAAAACTACATTGGAAATAAATTCCTTATTCCTATCTCGTAGTAGTCCTTCAACCCGTGTGCCTTGTTCCATTTTCTAACCGTCCACTCCACGAAGGGTGGTCCATAGCGCACATCGGGGGTACCTCGGTTGTGACCTCACTCGTCCAACCATCCACATGTTTTAAACATAGCGAAGTTGTCCTCAACCTTTTCACCAGGATGACGATTCGCTTCATAGTGGCATTTCTCCTTCTTCTCATAATCTTCTTGAAAGTTAAGCTTCCGCTTAAGTTTCCTTTTGATTACGGTTGAAGTCATTGGTCACACTACCATAGTCCTCAGACCATGTAGTGGTCACACCATCATAGGATCCTTCGTGGCTTTTAGCCGATCTACTAGGCAACACAATAGGTACCAATTGTGTGTCATTAGCCACCGGTCTACCGGTTCGTGAACCAACGTTCTCCGGAGCACCATCGTGTGTTTTTGCAACTCCCATGGAAATATTATTTCCAACGTTGCCGCCGTCAACCGGCATCACAGAATGTACAACATCGTTGCCGTTCTGACCATTTGAATGTGTACCTCCGGCAACATTCACGGATCCAATCCTTTTGGAATCCATCGATTTGTTCATTATCAAAATAAATAAGGTTTTAAGATTGTTGGTGATAATGAACCACAATCGATTTAATATCCCAAAAATAATATTTATATATACACACACTAGTATATAAAATATTATTGGATATTTATCCGAAAAATATATATACACACAAATATATATAAAACGGATCCAAACGTTATATATACATGTATATCTACGAAAAAGATATATCAATATATATCAACCAAAATTGAAACTAATAATCCTCAGATTATGAGTCCAATCCAAATAATATATCAAAAGAGAGGACGGATTTTTGCTTAAAAGCATAATCCAAACAAGAAAGAAGGAGAAGGAAGAAAGAAATGTACGAGTTAGGCGAGTGCCTTTCTTTCCTTAAAACCTTATTTGCCACCTCCCAAAAGTGCTAGGAGCGTTGTGGCCTAGGTCTCCCAGGATAAAACGTACAACGGTTCGACGTTTGAGCACCCAAACTAACGAACCCGGCGAACAAGAGCACGGGCAAAACACAGCTTCAAGAATGGAGTAGGAGCAGGATTTTGAGAGGAAAAGAGAATTTCTTTTTGTGTGTTCTTGTGTTGTTTCTCACTTTCTTTCTAACATTGTGTTTAAAAGGTTGCTCCCACAACATGTTTATATAGGAAATTGATACTAAATAGCATCATCATGACACATTAACCAACATAAATTCAATTTAAAAATTGAATTATAACGTTTGAAACGGTCGTACTTATTATCGAAATAATATCAACGGTCACGAACTTAATATCCGATTAATTCGTACCGATTGTAGCGACCCGTTTCAAATATCTGAGTGACCGAGAAGTCCGTACAAACCCGAAAGGTTAACGAATTGGGACCGAAAACTACACCCGAATGGTCCACAAGCACCGAAACGGTGCAACACGAATCAATGCATATAACTTTGATTCGTGCTCACCGAATCTAAAAGCCACGAAAGGAGCACGAAACTTAATCTTTGAAATCCATGCAACTTTCGTCCATTCATATTGAACTTTCGTCCATGCAACTTTCAAAGCTTAATTAAGCTCTTAAGATTAACATACTTAAGCTTTCAAAACAAAGCTTAACTACACTTAAGCTAACTTTCGTACAGGACCGAAAGCAGGGGCACGAATTGGGCTAAAACTCAATTCCCATTTATTAAGCTTTCGTACTTTGGACTTCTCCTAAATAGGTTCACTTTGAGAATCAATTTCTCATTCACCTATTACCCATTTTGAGCGTACATTATATCAAATTCTTCGTCTTACTACGAAGAACCCGAATCCACATTGACCCGACCCAAATCGGAAGTGGATCTCACATATATTTGTACCACAAAATAATTACTCAAAATGTCATTTTAATGCTATTTTTCCAACAATCAACTCATTCTTGAGGTAATTAGTCTGTTTTACTGCTAGATTGAAGAGATTCCATGAAGCCTGAGGAGGCAAGCTATTTTACTGCTTGGTTGAAGATATTCCATGAAGCCTGAAGAGGAAGAGGAAGAATTTGAAGAAATGAATGATTTGAAGAGAGATTATTGTTGTTAAAAGAAAATAGGAAATTAAAGAAGACAAACTTGCACCTTTCCCAGCAATCAGAATGCAATCATAGCCTTAATTATCTTCAATTTATCTTTGTTTACCTCCTAGCTAGCTTGTTATTGATTCAAAAACAAACATCACATAACACTATATAGTTAGATGTTTCCAAATCCAGCCAGCTTGTACAGTACAGAGCTTTACTTCAGATAGATAAGAGCAGACATACTGTCTCCAACAATCTGTATTGAATTGTATAACAACATAATCTATAAGAAATTGCTTAAAGAATCATAATCTTAAGAAATGAGTGAAATGGCATCATCCATTTAAAAAATAAAAAATCAGAACAATAAAACAGTTCAGACATGAAATCATATATTTGAGCTCACCCAACTTGCTGCCTAATCCTCCAAAGCATCCACAACTAACCATTATGCCCATTCAAGAGGGCTTCGAATTTTGTCTTCAAACAATTTCTCCTTCATCACTCTGATCTCTTCCTCATCATCACATTTTTCCTCTGAGATGTTTACTCGTTCAGGCTGGAAAGAGTAAATTAAGCATAAAAATATTTGATGAATAGACAGCAGTTAAATAGGTAAGGAAATATCATATAGAGAGAGAAATGAGATCAAGTGAGAGAAAATCGATGACTATTCCTTGCAGATATACAAGTAGAATGAAATGTGAAATGGACAGAGAGGGAGAAAGAGACCTAATGTGTTCGGAACGAACAAGGATGGAATTTCCATAGCTGTTAAGTTGCTCATCTTGAATCCACTTTGCGGAAGTCAGAAGTGAACCCAGACAGTAGTTTAACTGAATCAATGCTAGTGTGGTGATATCCACAAAACCACTAGGGATCTCTTGCAAATACTTACATTTACATAACTCTAAACATTCGAGCACAGAAAAATGGTCACTCCCGGCATTCCAATATTTAAGAAGTGTGTCTTCAATTACCAATCTCTTCAATCGACAAAACCCTCCATTATATGGCACCCACGTTGGGCCTTGGCAAGCATTTATCAATTTTAGAACCTCTAGATTCGGCAACATACCAATAAGCCTCATATCACTCCATGGGAGAAGACGAGTCCTAAAGAATTTGAGCTTCTTAAGATTTGGTAGAAAACTAGTTGTCCATGGGATGCCGCTACATGGAATATGTTTGAGATAACGCCACCTTCTTATGCTTAGTGTCTCAAGCTGCCCCAAGTGCACAAAATTATAAAAGCAATCTGGACTTTGAGCGTATCCACCATCAATCCCCAATTTTTTTAAATTTGGGATCCTTGTAAATAGATCCTTTGTACAAAGCTTAAGATCCAACCCAGATATATCTCTAAGTTTTTATAAACAACGGACAATGTTTCTAATGAAAGATGGTAGGTTTCCCTTGTCACCAAAAAATTAAAGCAGTTGAGAAACTCAGCCCTGATCCTGCAATGCTATATATGGCACCATCCATTTCAGCTCTCACCACTATGCACATTCAAATTTGTCTTCCAACAATTTCACGTTCCTATATTTCCAAAAAATGAAAGCAATAAGCTTAATTGATTTTTCCTTTAGAGACATAAACCCCAAAATAAACAGATATATGTGCGCATACAACTAATATATACCTACTACACCTATTCATTCATCACTGATCTCTTCCTCCTCAAACCTCTTAAGTGAGAGAAAACATGCAGATGATGACATGAATTTCCATTGCAACCATCAGCCATGAAAAATTCAAAAGTAGCATGAAATAATGCATGTTAAACGGTGAGAGATATATTAGAGGGCCGGGATAGAAAGAGACAAATATTTTTTAGACGAACAAGAAGGGCATTATTTCCATAGTTGTGTTGCTCATCTTGAATCCACTTTGCAGAAGCCACAAGCTAGCTAGGGAATCCCTACATTCACTTAATTGAATCCCATCAGCTTAGTCACTCCTTTTTGTTGAATAGCAGTTGTAATCATTTGCTCTACAATTGAAGATACTTGAGACTTTTGTGGTCAATTTTGATGGTGAAATGTCCATCGTCCCCCTTCCAAGCAAATATGGTCTCCATATTTTCACTGCATTGATATTACACAAATATTATTATTATTCCTTCTCATAGATGGACATTATATTCAATTCCCAAGTGCTTAAGGCCCAAAGCCTTAACTTACTATAATAAGCTATAGGACAGGCCTACCTTCATACTTGCATTAAGACAACCTCTATACCCTTACTATAATAAGCCTTAAGTACTGTCCATCTATATATGAGAAGGATATTTTTAATTTATTTTAATAATTTTAAGTAAAAAAAAAAAGAAAAAAAAAAAAAAAAAAAAGAAGCAAACAGCCTGAAGGATTAATCGATTCCAAGAACCAAAAATAAAATTTGTCTTCCAATCCAACAAGTTTTCATTCCAATATATATTTCCAAAAATTGAAAGCAATAATATGCTTAATTCATTTTTCTTAGCTTGAGACAAAAACACCAAAATAAACAGCTATATGTGAATATATATTCTCTAAATTTCTATCAACAATGTATGAAGTTTCTAATAAAAGAATTTGTTCAACACAAAAATCCCTTAACCAACTATAAGAAATAATCTCTAAACAATTACTGCTATCAAATAGTAATGGTGGTGTAGTTGGTTAGTTGGGCTTAGAATCAATTTTTCATTTAAAAGTTGAATCTGTTCTTTATTAAATCACTATATTGAATTGTATAACAACAAAATAATCTGTAATAAATTGCTTAAAGCATTATAACCTTAAGAAATGAGTGAAATGGCATCATCCATCAGATCTCTAATCATCCCAGAAGCAGAAACCAAAATATATAACAGAGTAGTCACCCTGAACATAGCCTTCAAAATTTGTCTTCAAACAATTTCTCCTTCACCTCTCTCTTCCACATTCTTTCTCAGATATTTACTCTTTCTGGCTGGAAACAGTAAATTAAGTTAAAAATTGGTGAATAGACAGCAGGTAGATAGGTAAGGAAATTGTTAGATATGTGAAGAGTCATAGGTATGTGAAGAGTCATAGGAATGTGAAGAGGCATGATAACAGTAGCCTAGCATGTATATATATGCCAGTGTGGTTGTGAAGTTAAAAAGGAAGAAGTAATAGATATATAGAGAGTTTTTCTTGATTAACACGGTATCAGAGCCCAGTGGGCATTGATCGGCGCGAGGCGACTTCACTGGCAGGAGTTTCGCGGCGAACGGAGCCTCCACGCGTCGCCGCAATCCAGAGGTCCCGACGCCACGCGCCGGCACGTGTGCTCTGTTCCAGCGTCCTCTCCGGTCAAGGCGAGTACTGGCAGGCTCGTCTCTGTGAGCCCAGTAGGTCTAGGGTGGTGGTGGAGGCGCATGAGGCCATTTCCGGCAAAATATTGTCTTTTTCGTCTCGTTTTGGTGAGCCCATTTCGTCAAGGTATGGTTTATGATGTGTTGGAGTATAGATTGTTGGTGGCATGTTGTTTTAGCTCGGTTGAGGACCCGGCAGTGGGTATTTTCCAGCAGCTGATAACGACGACGCCGGGTTAAGTGGTTAGTGACGGCCGCCAGCGACTATGGTCAGTAGGTGTGTGTTGCTGTTGGGATGGTCAGTAGGTTTGTGTTGGGTTGTGAAGAAAAAAAAAACCTGATAATAAGGGAATAATTAGGCAGTAAAGTTCTTTTGTGTTGGTTGGTTTATCATATTAATAAGTCTTGAACTTTGTGTTTGGTTTATCATAGTTTGTCGCTTGTTTTAAATTAATTTGGAGCAATACTAGGTTTTGAGTTGAGTCAGTGCAGCCTGTTCAGTGCATGTAAATAGGGGTGCTGCAGGATGGGCAGCACAGGTGCTAGGAGTGGTGCGGACTTGGCATATGCCGCAGGGAAGGACGACGGCTGAAGAATGATTCAGGGTGAATCAGTTTACGTGCATGCACTGGGGAAACGTTGTGGTGTTGGGCAGCGTTGGTAAGGGTGCATGGAGAGAGGGACAGGTGCACTGTGGTCTGGCAGCGCTAATGGTTTGTGGAGAGAGACAGGTACGCTGTGGTGTTAGGCAGCGTTGATAAGGGTGTGGGGTGTGAGAGGCAGGTGCGTTGTGGTAATTAGCCTGGTTTTTGGCTCCGTAGAAGCTTTGTTGGTGCGACAAGGTGTGTTGTGGACTGATTTGGCACAACGTGGTTTTGAAGATTGTTCAAGTGGTTCGAGACGTAGGTGTTGGTCTCGAAGGTTATGACTCTAGGTGTGAAATCATATGGCTTATGTGATATGTATATATATGTAACTGGGCATAATTAACATCTATGCTCCAACTTGACGGGAAATATGAGATATGTGAAGAGTCATAGGGATGTGAAGAGGCATGATAACAGTAGCCTAGCATGTATATATATATATATATATATATATATATATATATATATGCTAGTGTGGTTGTGAAGTTAAAAAGAAGTAATAGATATATAGAGAGTTTTTCTTGATTAACAGAAATATATAGAGAAAAATGCTATGAAGTGAGAGAAAACAGATGACTATTCCTTGCAGATAAACAAGGAGAATGAGATGTGAAATGGTCAAAGATATATTAGAGAGATAGAAAGAGACTTAATATTTTCGGAACAAATAAGGATTGAATTTCCATAATTGTTGAGTTGCTCATCTTTAATCCACTTTGTAGAAATCAGAAATGAAACACAACAATAGTTTAACTGAATCAATGCTAGTGTGGTGATATTCACAAAACCACTCTAGAATTTCTTTGCAAATACTTGCATTTACGTATTGCTCAACCTACGAGATCCCTATATCTGATCTGTAACACACATATATATATATATATATATATATATATATATATATATATATATATATATATATATATATATATTTGTATACCACACCCGGCCCGAATCTAAACAGATTATCCATCCATCAACTTACTAGTGATAGATTGACCTTCAATTCCCATATATAGTAAATTCTTAATTGTCCATTAAAATTAAAACACCAAATTATACCTACACTAATTTGCTATCACAAAATAATTAAACTCAGGCTGGGACGCTGGGTGCATGGATGGTGAACAAACCACTTATAAGTAAAGAGACATTCATATATAAAGCAGATAGATAAAGAAAAATGAGGGAAAATTAAAGAGATTTTGATTATGCATTGCAGTGCTGAGCAGCTATATACATTGCAACCATCATATCTACAGACTAGTTCCCCACCACCAAAATCTCTACAAACAAACAAACTTAAGAAACAAAACAGATTTCTGAGACTTTAAATGAATAAATAAAAATTCTTTTCCCAAGCAATGGCAGCAGCATCCATCAGATTTCTGAGAACGAATTGCCCTCAGAGACCATTTCTGAGAACGAATTTCCCTCTGAGACCATTTCAGCTCTTCCAACAATTTCTCCAGGCCTTCCTATATATATTTCCAAAAAGGGAAAGCAATAAGTTTAATAGATCCACTTTTCTTTAATTTGAGACAAAAAAAAAAAAAAAAAAAAACAAAAACAAAATAAACACTAGTTATAGATGCTCATACAACATACCTACATACTGCTATTCATTTATCACTCTCTTCCTCCTCAAACCACTTACACCATGAAGTCTGGAAACAATAAATTCAGTAAAAAGAAAAGGCGAACACACAACAGTTAGATAGGTAAGGAAATATGAGATAGAGATTAGAGAAATTAAAAAAGAGATAGAAGTGAGAGAAAACAGATCAGATAGATGATTATCCATTGCAGCCATCAGCCATAAAAAGTTCAAGTAGAGTATGAAGTGCATGCATGTTAAATGGTGAGAGATATATCAGAGGGATAGAAAGAGACCTTAATATTTTAGGAACGAACAATGAGGGCATCATTTCCATACTTGTTGTTTTGCTCTTCTTGAATCCAATTTGCAGAAGCCACAAGGGAATACCCACATTTGCTTATCTGAATCAATGCTAGTGTGGTGATTTCGGCAAAACCACAAGGTATTTCTTTCAACATAGAGCAGTCACTTAGTTCTAAACATTCGAGCATTGGGAAATGGTCACCCACAACATTCCAATATTGGAGATTTGTTTTTTCAATTACCAACCTCTTCAATTGATGGAACCCTCCACCAGATGTCAGCTCCCAGTTTGAGCCTTCACAAGCATCTATTAATTTTAGAACCTCCAGATTAGGCAACATACTAATAGCGCTCAGCTCACTCCACTGCAGATTAGACTTCAACAAGCTGAGCTTCTTAAGATTTGGTAAACTAGTTGCCCATGGGATGCTACGCATAACAAGGTTGAGATTCATCCACCTTCTGATGCTTAGTTTCTCAAGCTGCTCCAAGTGCACAAAATTATAAAAACAATCTGGATTATTAACATAGTATCCACCTTCAACCCCCAATGTTTTTAAATTCGGAATCATTGTAAACAAATCCTTTGTACATAACTTAGAATCCAACCAAGATATATTCTCTAAGTTTCTATAAACAACTGATGGAGTTTCTAATGAACAAATTCTTCCAATGCAAAAATTCCTTAATAGTGGCATTTTCCAAATTCCAGATGGCTCAGAGGAATACAATATAACACCATTCCCACTAACAATCAAACTTTGCATATTCCAATGCTCAAAGAGCTTTATCTCAGAAGGCTTATATGTGGACAAAGCTAAGTATCTCAAATGAACAAGATTTGCAAGCACATTTAGGTCTATAACTCCATCCCAAAATCTATTTCTCATGTCTAGTACTCTTACTAGTTTCAAGTGTGAAAATAGACGTTTCACATCTGCATTCCAAGAACAGTAAAGATGAGTTAAGAGAAAGGAATGAGATTTATGAACGCACTCATCTTCAAACCTGACTTTATTATAGACAGATCTTGATGTATTACTTATCCAACGACAAGGTTTTTTAACTCCATTGACATTCAAGAGATTTTCAAGTCTAGCTTCTCTCAAGCACAAATCTCGCAATAGATCATGGATCCTTATTTTCTTCATTTCCCCATTGTAGCTATGTTTGCTAACTATAACAAGACTTCTGTCAACAAGATCTTGCAAGCATTCCATAGCCACTTTCTCCAAATTCACATGCTTCACAGTGCCCAAAAATCCCTCTGCCGCCCACAACCTAACCAACTTCTTCACAGAGATCTCATAGTCTTCTTCAAAAATTCCAAAATATAGAAAACAGGCTTTTAAGTGGTGTGGTAATTGATTGTAACTCAAATATAGTATTCTGGAACATGCATCACTAGAATCACCCATTACACTCTTTGCAACATTCTTCCACTTTTTCTCCTCCTCTTCTGTCTTGGAGAGAAGGCTAGCGACTATAGTAATAGCTAGAGGTAATCCTTTACATTTCATCACTATGTCTTTACCAATTTGCTCAAACACGGGAAGGAATTCAGTTTTACCAAAGACTTTGCAGTAGAGATTCCAACTTTCTTTGGAACCTAAGAAAGGCATGTTAAGAGGAGAGTTACCTGAGCTAGCATATTCTGCCACCTCTCTGAGTCGAGAAGTCAATAGTATACAGCTTCCATTATTATCATCTGGAAAGCATCTTTGCACACTATCCCAAGCAGTAGTGTTCCATATATCATCAATTACTATCAAATATCTCTGACTCTTCAAACATTTACGCACACTTTCTGCTAATTGGTCTTGGCCATCTCTTGATGCTGCAGTAACACAACTAAGAAGACATCGGAGCATTTGTTCTACGCTATACTCTTGGGATACAGTAAGCCATGCTCGCTTGTCGAAATGAGAAGTAATTGATGGATGTTCATAAACTTTCTGTGCTAAAGTGGTCTTGCCTATTCCTCCCATGCCAACAATTGAAACAACTTGTCTCCCCTTAGTTGTTTGTTGCGTGAGCAGCTGATCCAATATCTTCTCGAACATCTTGTCGCATCCGACCATTCTACTGTCGTCAAACTTTGAAGCGTTTTTGGAGAAGTTACTCACAATAATTTTCTTGTGTACTAGATGATGCAGTGATGATCCTTTGACAAGCTGTAGTCCTCTTTGTCGGATCCGACCAAGGAGTGAAACATCAGTGAGTGTTTGGTTTTGTGATGAAGCTGCCTTTGCAAGCTGCTGGTAGTAATCAGTCTGTTTTTCTGCTTCTATGACAATTTCATGAAGCCTGAGCAGGCAAGCTGTTATATGAAGAAGACTACCCTTTGCTAGATAAATGGTAGTCAACTCCATCTCAATCCTTCCTTCGGCATTGAACCATACATCTCTGATCTCTGCCTCTAAATCTTTCATCGCCCCCGCAACATCATTGCCAATCTCAGATTTCTGAAGAATGTCCTGCAGCAAGCCAAGATTTTGATGGAGAGAGACCATCTTTTGTTTGACTTCACCCACCTCTCTGAGCTGAGCAAGCTGCTGCTTTCCATAAACCCTGGGGAGCCTCAACAATTTGTTTATACGAAGACGCTTCGATGATGATGCTTCTTCGTCCAACTCCATCTCTCTAATCTGAGCCTCAACAATTTGTTTCAGCAAGCCTAGATTTTCATTACCATCCCTGATCTGGTAACCAGTCTGTTTTTCTGCTTCATTGAAGATTTGATGAAGCCTGAGCAGGCAAGCTGTTATATGAATTGGAAGGCTATCCTTTGCTAGATAAATGGCAGTCAACTCCATCTCAATCCTTTCTTCCGCTTTGAACGATGCATCTCTGATCTGTGCCTCTAAATGTTTCATCACCCTCACCCTGGCATCATCATAGGGGATCTCAGATTTGTCAAGACTTTGTTGCAGCAAGCCCAGATTTTGATGGAGAGAAACTATCTTTTGTTTCACTTGAGCCACCTCCCTGAGCCGAGAAGTCAATAGTATACTATCCCAAGCATTAATGATTCTTTCATTTGGTGATGATGAACACTCTGCAAGCTGCTGTTGCTGCAGCTTTTCACTTTTAATCAACTTCTTCTTCTTGGGGTAATATTCAGTCTGTTTTACCGCTTCATTATTGAAGATTCCATGAAGCCTGGGGAAGCAAGCCTTTATACGAAGACGCTTTGATGACGCTTCTTCGTCTATCTCTCTCATCTGAGCCTCAACAATTCGTTGCAGCAAGCCAAGATTTTCATTGCCATCTCTCATCTGTGCCTCTAAATCTTCAATAGGCAAACGTGGTTGTGATTGCAAGAAATGTAGAGACAGTGTTTCCATAAGCGAAGTTACAGCAGCGTAAGCCATTTACTTCTCTCTCTCTCTCTCTCTCTCTCTCTCTCTCTCTGGAAGAGGAAGAATTTGGAAGAAATGAATGATTAGAATGAACAGACACTATTGTTGTCAAAAAAAAAATGGAAAAGTAGAAGACAAACATATATTGTTTTATACTTCTAGTAAAGCTGCATTAGTGGTTGACAACTTTTGCATTATTATAATTTTTTTTGTCAGTGTTGATATAAAGTTATTATTAGTATATATTTATTGTACTTAATTATTAATCATATTTAGTTGTCCTACACCTACTGGCTTCTGCAAAGTGGATTGAAGATGAGCAATAATGCAACAACTATGGAAATGCCCTGTCCTGCCCTCCTTTGTTTACTCCAAACAGATTAATTAGGGTCTCTTTCTAGGTTGCCCATATCTAATTGGTTCAATCCAAAAAGGCCAATAGGTTGCTCTGACTAAGAGTTAAATTTGTAACTTTGCGGTTATTATGTCAACAAACTGACCAAATCACTATTAGCCTGAAGACAAACCTGAAGCCCTCTTCATTCAATTAACAAAGCATGGATTATGATGGCAGATTTTAGAAAGGCAGACGGACCACTTAATCTGATTGAACCTTATGGCTGATTTTTTTTTAGGTGACAAGGAAAACGTGCAGCCACTCTCCAAGGGTGTACACTAGGTAAATCCCATTTTGTAACCCTATCCCGTAAAGGAGCACAATGAAGTAAACCATCCTGCCTAGGTTGCACATAGCTAACCGGTTCAAACCAAAAAGGCCAATATGTTGCTCTAACTAGCAGTTGAATTTGTTACTTTGCGGTTATTATGTCAACAGACTTACCAACTTGACTAGGGTTGTCCTTATGGCAAATCTTTTCGTTACGCTATGGTAGTACTAGACAAATGACAAAAATACCCCTACTCAAAACAATAAACAATATGGAGTATTTATTTATATATATAAATTTAAATTAATATAAAATAAACACACACATAAGGTAGTTTGGTATTTAATACATTTAGCTATTATTGATGAGGCAAGAATAGCTAATACTATGGGGAATATGTGAATGATTATTCTCATTCCAAAGGAATAGCCAATTCCATGGAATTGTATTCCAGGGTTATAAAAACTAACCAAATGACGAAATAGATATATTTCATCGAATGTTATTTCATTCCCTGTGTATTTCGCAAACAAAACACCATGTTTACTAATTTTTGTAGATTTTAGGGTGTGTTTGGTTCAAATATTGGAATAGGAATAACAATGTGAAGCTTTATATTTTATATTTTTTTATTTTTTCCTAAATAATTTTATTCTATTGTTCAAAAGTAGAAGAGTAAAATAATAATGAGTTTTGTAATTACTAAAGTATTTGATTCCAATTGTAGGATAACAAAACTAGAAAAACAAACCCAGTGTTATCAAAATCCATAGTAGAGTGCAAAAGTTCCCAACCAAACACCACTTAGATCGTGTGCAGAGTAATTGAAGATTTCTCTACATCTGTATCATTACAAGTTGAGACTTGAGATGAAGATCGAAAAGGTTTTGTACAGAGACTCCAAAACTTGTCTGTCTTTAAGATGGAGATGATGGTGTAAAATGAGTAAACTGTGGCTAAGGATCGGAGAAACAAAACAGTGAAAGGTTAAGTTAGATTATCTGTACAACTCACTTGGCTAAAAAAAAAAAAAAAACAAACAGTTTTGAGAGTTGAGATGGAGAAATTCAGCTCTGATCCTGCAAACTGCAATGCTATGATGTGGGTGCAACAGAATATTCAGCCAACTTCAATTCAATTCTTGGCTAATCCACAAAAAACAAATGCAAAAATCATTTCTGAGACTTCAAATGAACCTGCAATGCTATATATGGCACCATCCACCATATCAGATTTCTGAGAAGCAGAAACCATTTCAGCTCACCACTATGCACATTTAAATTTGTCTTCCGATCCAACAATTTTTCATTCCTATATTATATTTCCAAACAATGAAAGCAATAATATGCTCAATTCATTTTCCTTAGCTTAATTGAGACAAAAACACCAAAATAAACAGCTACGTGTACTGCTATATGTGAAGATATATTCTCTACATTTCTATCAACAACCTACAAAGTTTCTAATAAAAGAATTTGTTCAACACAAAAATCCCTTAACCAACTATAAGAAATAACTCTGATGAATTACTCCTATCAAATAGTAATGGTGGTGTAGTTGGTTAGTTGTGCTTAGAATCGATTTTTCATTTAACAGTTGAATCTGTTCTTTATAAATTCACTATATTGAATTGTATAACAACAAAATAATCTGTAATAAATTCCTTAAAGCAATTATAATCTTAAGAAATGAGTGAAATGGCATCATCCATTTTTTTTTTTTTTAAAAAATCAGAACAATAAAACAGTTGAGACATTAGATGAAATTCAGGTGCTGAAATATAATGCCAAGGCATCATCCATCAGATATCTAATCATCCCAGAATCAGAAACCAAAATATATAACAGAGTTGTCACCTGGACATATCCTTCAAAAGTTGTCTTCAAACAGTTTCTCCTCATCACATTCTTTCTCAGATGTTTACTCTTTCTGGCTGGAAACAGTAAATTAAGTTAAAAATTGGTGAATAGACAGCAGGTAGATAGGCAAGGAAATATATAGAGAAAAATGAGATCAAGTGAGAGAAAAAAGATGACTTTTCCTTGCAGATAAACAAGTAGAATGAGATGTGAAATGGTCAGAGATATATTAGAGGGATAGAAAGAGACCTAATATTTTTGGAACGAACAAGGATTGATTTTCCATAGTTGTTGAGTTGCTCATCTTGAATCCACTTTGCGGAAGTCAGAAGTGAATCCCGACAATAGTTTAACTGAATCAATGCTAGTGTGGTGATATCCACGAAACCACTAGGGATCTCTTGCAAATACTTGCATCTACGTAACTCTAAACATTCGAGCACAGGAAAGTGGTCACCCTCGGCATTCCAATATTTAAGAAGTGTGTTTTCAATTATCAACCTCTTCAATCGACGGAACCCTCCATTATATGGCTCCCACTCTGGACCTTGGCAAGCATGTATCAATTTTAAAACCTCTAGATTTGGCAACATACCAATAAACCTCATATCACTCCATGGGAGATAATGAGTCCAAAACAATTTGAGCTTCTTAAGATTTGGTAGAAAACTAGTTGCCCATGGGATGTCGTTACATGGAATACGTCTGAGACCATCCCAGCTTATGCTTAGTGTCTCAAGCTGCCCCAAGTGCACCAAATTATAAAAGCAGTCTTGATTATCAGTGTATCCACCTTTGATCCCCAATTTTTTTAAATTCGGAATCCTTGTAAACAAATCCTTTGTACAAAGCTCATAACTCAACCAAGATATATTCTCTAAGTTTCTATGAACAATTGAAGGAGTTTGTAATGAATAAATTTGTTCAGCACAAAAATTCCTTAATAGTGGCATTGTCCAATTTCTAAATGCCCCAGGGGAATCCCATGTAACAGATTTTCCACGAACGATAAAGCTTTGTATATTCCTATGCTCAAAGATCTTTACACAAAGAGGAGCGTGATCATATCTTGATTTCTCGGTCAAGGCAAAGTATCTCAAATGAACAAGAATGGCAAACACATTAAGTATCTCATATCTATCAGAAAATGATCCACATTCAATGTCTACTACTCTTAGCAGTTTGAAGTGTGAATATAGATGTTCATAGCTATGAAAGTAATAACCAGTAGAGTAATCAACCCTAGAGTGTAAGGAATGAGAATTGTGAAAGAGCATATCTCCTGACCTGATTTGATTATCAATACGTTCGGTATGACCTATCCAACGATAAGGTTTTGAAAACAGGTGCTGTGATTTCATCCACTCATCAAATGGAAGTTTTTCATCTCTAATCACATTCAAGAGATTTTCACGTCCACCTTCTTTCAAGCACAAATCTCGCAACAGATCATGTATTCTTATTCTCTTCATTTTGCCATTGTAGCTCTGTTTGCTAACTATAACAAGACTTCTATCAACAAGATCTTGCAAGCATTCCATGGCCGCTTCCTCCAAATTCACATGCTTCACAACCCTCAAAAATCCCTCTGCTGCCCACAACCTGACCAGCTTCTTCACAGGGATCTCATAGTCTTCCCCCAAAACTCCAAAATATAGAAAACAAGCTTTTAAGTGGTGTGGTAATTGGTTGTAACTCAAATATAGTACTCTTGAACATGCTTCATTAGAATCACCAATTACACTTTCTGCAACATTCTTCCACTTTTCCACATTCTCTTCTGTCTTGGAGAGAAGACTAGCTACTAAAGTAATAGCTAGAGGTAATCCTTTACATTTCCTCACTATGTCTCTACCAATTTGCTCAAACACCAAAAGAAATTCTGTTTTACCAAACACATTGCAGTAGAGATTCCAACTTTCATTGGCATCTAAGAAAGGCATGTTAATGATAGAGTTACCGGAACTAGCATATTCAGCCACCTCTTTGAGCCGAGAAGTCAATAGTATACGGCTTCCATTATTATCATCTGGAAAGCACCTTTGCACACTATCCCAGGCATTAGAAGTCCATATATCATCTATCACTATCAAATATCTATGATCCTTCAAGTGTTTACGTAGACTTTCTGCTAAGTTGTCATTTCTTTGTTCATGGAGTACATTGCTCTGTTTAGAGAGTTCATCACTTGATGCACTAACACAACCAATAAGGCATTGGAGCATTTGGTCCAGGTTATACACTTGAGATATAGTAGCCCATGCTTGCTTATCAAAATAAGAAACAATTGATGGATGTTCATAAACTTTTTGAGCTAAAGTGGTCTTGCCTATACCTCCCATGCCAACAATTGATACAACTTGTAGCTGCTTCGCTGATTGTCGAGTGAGCTGATCCATTATCGTCTTGAACTCCTCGTTGCATCCAACCATTGAAGCTGTTTTGGAAAATTTACTCACACTAATGTTGTCGCGTTCTAGATCTGCAGGTTGTGATGATTTTGAACCAATTCCTCTTCGTCGCATCCAACCAGTGAGTGATGAACCCTTTGCAAGCTGCTGCTGCTGTTTACTTTTAATCTTAATCAACTTCTTCTTCAAGTAATCAGTCTGTTTAACTGCTTCTTTGAAGATTCCGTGAAGCTTGAGGAGGCTGCAAGCCTCTTTACTGCTTGATTGAAGATAAATGGTAGTCAACTCCATCTCAATCCTTTCTTCGGCTTTGAACCATACATCTCTCATCTCTGCCTCTAAATCTTTCATCGCCCCCGCATTACCATAGGCGGCGATCTCAGATTTTTCAAGATTTTCTTGCAGGAAACCAAGATTTTCATGGAGAGAATTAACTATCTCTTGTTTGTGTTGAAGAGGGAAGCGCGGTTGTGATTGCAAGAACTGTAGATGCAGAGTTCCCATAAGCGAAGTTACAGCAGCGTAAGCCATTTGCGTGTCTCTGGTAGGGTGATCAGAGGAAGATTATGAAGAAATGAATGATTAGCAGATAGATTATTCTTGTCAAAATTAAGAAAAAGAAAAGTGTTTTAGTAAAGGTGCATTTGTGGAGAACAAATTCTGGTCATAAGAAAATAGGAAAAGAAGACAAACACTGTTTTGGTAAAGGTGTGTGAACTTTGACTCTTTGAATATTGAAACTTATACTAGCCCTGTTTGGCTGTTTATTATTATTATTAAAAAAAAAAAAAAAGTTGTCACTGTTTTTTTTTTTAACCAAAAAAGTTGTCACTGTTAACAACTTATGTAGTTGAAATTTATTTTAAAAGGATTACACTTGTATGAGACTGTCTTACAGATATTTTATTTGTGAAACAGATTAAGTCAATATTAAAATGTAATACTTATACTGAAAAATGTAATACTAATTAGAAATAAAGTATATGTTAAGAAATTGTAATATTTTTGAGAAAAAATTTAATACTTTTATATTTTGATGTAAAAGTCAATGTTGTAAAAATTGCGCCTAGGCGCTAGGCGGTGGCCGACCGTTTAGAATTTCGGCGGAATCGTCGTTCTAGGCGGCATAGGCGCCGACTAGGTCGCGGCGAACTAGGCGACCTAAGTGGGCGTTTAGGCTGCCGGTTAGCTATTTTTCCGGGTTTTTTTAATAGGTTATTTTGCTCAAATCGACGCTGTTTTTAGTGAAATAACCCTAAATTGTTCAAATCGATCGCAAATCCAAAAAATGTAATAAAAAATTCAAAATCAGATACTCTAATATTAATATTTTGTGAGTTGTGACTTTGTGTTTTGTTTTTATTCTTTAAATTTTTATACAATTTATAATTTTAGATGTTGTTTTAGGTTAATATTTAATATTTTAGTACTAACTGTTAAAGTATTAAATAGTTTATAATTACCAAGCCTTAAGTAATTTAAAAAAAAAAAAAAAAAAAAAAAAAAAAAAAAAAAAAAACCATGTGCCTAGGCGCCCTAGGTGCTATGCACATGAGGAACACCTAACAATTTTTGCAACCTTGATACAAGTATTACATTTTCTTCAAAAGTATTACACTTCAAATGTATAAGTAATAAATATTTTATTCTTTATTAGTTACGTTTTTCAATATAAATATTACATTTGATCTTGACCTGACCCGTCTCACAGATAAAGATCCATGAGACGGTCTCACACAATTTTTTACCATTTTAAAATATAGTTGAGAGCATTGTTTTGTTCAGATTTATAAAATATTATTAATAAAAAAATGTAAAAAATACTATCTTTGTCTTTCATTTATCCTTGGCATTGTTCAAATACATTTTCTCCAAACGAAAACAAAGGTAAAGAAAAAAAGCTAATGTTTTGATAAATTTTGACAAGAGTTAATATCATCTAAGGTCCTCCGAGTATAGTAGTTTTGTCACGTTTAGTCCTAAACTTTTAAATTGACCATCTGTGGTCTTTTGACTTTCAAATTTAACCATTCGTGGTCCAAGTTAACCACCCATGGTCCTTCAACTATTAAATTTTAACCAACCATGGTCCTTTCAAGAGGACCGCGGCTGGTTAAATTTCGAATGTTGAAGGACCATGGGTGGTTAACTTGGACCACGAATAGTTAAATTTAAAAGTCGAATGACCACAGATGGTCAATTTGAAAGTTTAGGACTAGATGTGGCAAGACCACTATACTCGGAGGACTTCATGTGGCATTAACTCATTTTGACAAGTTTTTACCGGGTTAGAGTCCGGAAGTGTTGGTCCCGATGAGGGTTAGGGTACAAGTCTAGAGGGAGTAAATAGACTTGTAGTATTTTGAAAACTTTTCGAAAGGTTAAAGCAATCAAGATGTAACTTTAACTTCTCGGTCAGAATGCACTGCGAAAATTTTGTTAACCCTTTTTAAATTTCTTTGCACGTAGATTTAATCTTATCAAATCTTAGGTCTAATTGAATGTTATACAATAAAGCAATAAATAATTTAAAGAGAGAGACTGAGAAATTTTTATAGTGATTCGGCTATAACCAGCCTACTCCACTCTTCTCCACAACACGAGGAGGATTGAACTATCACTATTACAAAAACTGGACGTTCACGCTTTGAAGACAAAGTCAGTCGTGAACTCCACAACCTAGGTTTTTCAACTCAACACGAGTTTATTCCGCCTATTTCTATCTCAACGAGTAGAGATTACAAGGTTGGAGAAAAGGTTTTTATTCTTCTCCAAATAGAGAACCTGGCTTCTTGAACTTGATCTTCGCAGCTTGAGCAGCACAAGTCTCTAAGAACTATTTGTAATCCTTTAAGCTTTTTGTCTCTCTTTCTCCTCAACAGACTGGTCACTAAAACACCTGAAACTTTAGCACTTGATAAAATTTTTAAAAAGACCAGCACCTTCTTCAGTTTTGGAAGAGGGTATTTATAGGCACATTGAAATAGTTTTGTTGGAGGAAAAAACTATTTTCAAATGGATATGGACCAATGTGTAGAGACTGATGGGTAATCTAGAGGGTAGGTGAGCGTGTTAGATTTTTCAACCGTTAAAGACTTAATTTGTATTGAACAATGCTTTTTTGTTCTGCACAAAATATCAAGGTATTTAAGGAAATATCTTTCTTGGAATGTGTTCCTAGGATTCACTTCACCTTGGACACATTCTCTCATCCTTTTAAAGGTTTCGGACTGTTTGCTCAGAGAATATCTCGAGCAATCCTTTCGAGTGGTTAACTAGGTTAACGTCTCGAACCTTAGAGCCTTTCCGATACAAATCGTTGACTTTACCATTCGTCCATTGTTACTCCTCGAAAGGTAGACCCTTCAATGCCATCACTCGGTCTTTGCAACCTTTTGGTCTTGATGTCTTCTACTTTTCAAATCTTCGGTCTTCTGATCTTCATCACGGACCATTCAAGAGTTAATCACTCGGGTTACTCTTCGAGTAAATTGTTGAGACTGGCCTCTCGAGTTAACATTTGGATAACTTGAATTGTTACTACTCAAGGTACCATTCGGTTAGTTTGAATGTTTGAGCAGAATTAACTTAAGTCTATAAAATAAAATAATTGGGGTATAAAATTCATATCGTTTGGTATATATCATCAAAATTTAAAAACAAATGTTCCTAACAAGAAGATCAAAAGTGACAAAAATCAAATCCATGCACTTAAAGTGACAAAAAAAAAATTATAGTACAAAAAATATCATTAATATAAGAACTTCTAAAATTTTTGAATTGAACCAAGTAAATTGCAAACAAACAAAAGCAACAAAGTGAACTAGTCTCCCTAATTTGGACATTTGCTCATGTTAACTAAAATGGACAAATTATTCAACACCGATGGCACTCCCTGACAACGCCGCCATTTAAAAATTGTTTAGCGGTGATCGAGTGAGGTGTGAGAGAGTATCCTCACATGGAATATCATCTTGTGGGGTGGAACTAAATGGAGTTGAATAGTAAGTGTTAAGCATGAGAGTGTAGAGTGTTTAGAAACTAGTTCGATTCATGTAAGTGAGAAGCATTCAAAAACAATTGATAGCAAAAGCAAAAGGCAAATAAGTAGCTGTGACCACGGTTCGGTTCCGAACCGGCGATTCACGGTTCACGAACCCGCGGTTCCGATTAAAGGTTTTAACCGTGTTTTTTTTTAATGTTTTGTTTAATTTTTGTTGCGCACGATTATAAATATTTCAAAGGAATTCAATGGTTTTAATACTTTTATAAAGGATTAGCACTCTAGCAGTAGACCACTGGCCTTTGCGCTAGTCTACTGGCAATGGTCTGGCCACTGAGCATGGCCTAGTCACTGAGCAGTGGCCTACCGGGCGTGTTGGCCACAGGCCAATAGTGTAACACCCTACTTTTCTTAAACTAAATCTCAAATACTTAACTTCAAAAGATAAACTAGACAAGATAAAAAGTAAGATTAATTACTTAAAACCAGCCGAAATCAACCAAACGGGTGTCACCGCCACAGTCACCTCATACGATGACTGCTCAGGCTAAAGAAAGGTAACTATCTAGAGTCAAGCTCATCAAAAAACTACATCCAAACTTGGGGAACAAAACCCCGGTGTTCAACACCAACAAAATTAAGATCAACAAAAGTATCTAAACACCAATGTTCATATAGAATCTACCATCTCATAGTCTACGCACTAATCTAACTCGTGCGCGCTCAAACACTGGGCCCACCTTAAAGGGGTTAAGAAAAACAAGTAGGAAATAAACCCGTTAGCACGAATGCTAAGTATAAAGTCTCTCAACCCTGTAAAGTACTATATATATATATTTGAAAATCATTTGGCAATCACACTTAAGCTCAAGTACTTTCGACATTTAAACAACAATCTCAAATCATGCTCATAAATAGTTCAATATGCTTGCAACCTATACATCATATAATCATGCTTTCTCAAGTACTCAACTTAATACAATTCTCATGCTTTAAACAGATATTTCAAATCATAGCTCAATAGTCAAACTCATGCTAAAACTGATAGATAAAGAGATACTAAATAACTCAACAAGCTATCTTATACTATCATGCCAACTCATAAGCAACAACAAAGTATTATACTTCTCATCATACTTAAATGCAAATCATGAAAATCATGCAATAAGATAGTCATGATGCTTTATATATATATATATATATATATATATATATATATATATATATATATATATATATATATATATATATATATATATATATATATATATACACTCGCTCTTAGAGTCACATTGACTCGCTTTTCTCTTCTTACTCTTGAGTCTCTTGACTCACTTTCTTTCTTTCTTTCTTTACTCGTGGGCGAGGTAGGAACTTCACCAAATGTGAATGAACCTATCCGGGCTCGGCATCTAGCCGGCCTAATACTCATCTCGCTCACAGAGCCACTCTCTTGGTTCTTATCTCAAACTCTGTGAAATCAGGTATCGTACTTGTTAGTGTGCACACCCCCTAACCAAGATTTCAAGCCCGGTGGGTAGTATCCAACCTAGTAACTCGGGAATATCGACCTCGTTACTTCATATAATATGCCGGTTCGCAATGACCG